TATCTTTATGTAGTCATTCTTTCTCCGGCATTGCAAGGTTATGAAAAGGATTCCTTGTAATCTCTTGTCACCACAGAATGTGCTTTTGTCATGTCTATGCACAGAATTTGCAAACAATTACATCTTTCTAGAATTTCCTATCTACTTTGATACTTATCAAATGCTTAGAATGGGAACTATGACTACCTTTATAGGCTATAAATTTTACTACTTCTACGGATTATTAAGCATTCACCACCTAATAATAGGAGAAGATCCAAGAGTTAGCCACTGCCAACATTTTTGGCAGAACCAGTTACAGTGTCAAATTCATTTGTGGGAACTAAAGAGTACATTGCTCCTGTAAGAGATTTAATTTTTCCCAGAGCTTATGCATTTCATGCTATTTGTGATATTCTGTTAGCTTGTTAATGTCCATTTGCTTCATCTGAAATGGAAAGTTTAGATAATATTTGCTGCATGAAATTTTTTTGTCTAATTTGGTTTTTGAAATTCTAGCTAATAGATATTAACTATTTTTTTTCCTGCTCTTGTTTGTTTCTGCAATCTGTATTATCATGTATTTAATATTTGTTATTCGATTTCAGGAAATTATTACAAGTGCTGGCCACAGCAGTGCTATTGATTGGTGGGCTCTTGGTAAGCACCCGCTGAAGCTGAATATATGATATCATGATCGTTTTGTGTTTCCTCTTCTTGTTATTTCTTTTAAATGATATGCTTCAAAAATACTAGTTTTAGATTCATCTTACCTTCTAGATGTGGGAATTTACATATTACTAGCTTATATTGTGCTTTGAATTCATTTTATGTCTGGTATTTAGGTATATTTTTGTATGAGATGCTCTACGACCGTACACCTTTCAGAGGTAAAAATAGATAGAAGACATTTGCCAACATTTTGCACAAAGACCTCACTTTCCCAAGTAGCATTCCGGTAAAAATCTGCCGCCTTTTAAGTCAGTTAAAATTATTCTCTTGTTATTCTGGTGAGTCAGTGGATATTGTATACATGCTCAGGATCTTGAGGTTTGGTCAAAATATGGATAATCTCTTTAGCTTAAATTGATGAATAGTTAACAATGGAGAACATTTAACAAGTGAGTATTAACCAAAAACTTCTTTTGGAAAGGTAGCGGATACCTTCCTGAGAACATCATAGCTACAAAGTATATTGGGCCTAAATTTTCACTGCCTTTGATGGAAATGTGTACCAGCTATAAGTTTTAACTGGCTAGGAAAACCATAATCGAAGATGTCTATAACGCCCCACTTGAGGTACATAGCTAAGATTTGCTGTATTACTTAAATGTTTATTGATTTGCACTCAATTGAGTTTGTATATTGTTATTTTTGGTTGGCTGGCCCTTGGTTGAATGTATGTGTTGGTTTGGTTGAGTATTTGCCCTGAAATTGGTTAAGACTTGGCAAATTTTGGAGTTACAGACTTCGCTGGGGTGAAGAATAATCTTCACCGCGGCGACGTAGGTTCTGTAACTGGCGTTGTAGGTTCTGTAATTTTTCGTCGGGGGGAAGCAAGAGTCTTCGCCATGGCGACGAGCTGGCTGAAATGTGTAATGAAGTTTCTAGATATTTTTCCATAGGGGTAAATTGACCATTCTACCCCTAATTAGCAGGAAAAGTGAGGAGTGAATTGTAAGGAAGTTTCATGGAGAATGTGTGAGAGTTGGGGGTGTGAGTGTAAGGAATTAAAGGATAAGGATGGAATTTTCAAGAAAGAGCAAGGGCAAAATGGAAATGCATGTGTAAAATATGAGCTAAAAAGGGATTAAGTTTAGTAAACCCTTCATTTTCTCTTCTCCACCGCCATTCCCATTCACCATTTTCTCTCAACTCTTCATTCCATCTTTCAAGGATTTTAAAGGGCTTTTTGAGTAAGTTGGGCTAGAAAGTTAATCTAAAGCATCCTAAGGTAAGGATTCTTGCTTTAGATGTGAAGTTTTGCTTATATATGTATATTGAAATCTTATGGTAGTATTGTTAAAGTTGTAGAGAAGAGACAAGCTGCCAAAGGAAAGGAGAAGGGTTAGTAAAATCTCTCCATCACAAGGTAAGTAAATCCAACCCAAGTTAAGATTTAAGCAATCAAATGAATTGATACGTATTGATATACTTATAATTGTGAGATTGATTGCTGAGATTGTAATTATTGATAGTTGATGGGTTGATAAATGGTTCTTTGAGCCAAGAGAAGTAGAGTCAAGGTTGGGATGGCCAATTGAAGTTTGGCCGAATTTGAGAAGAAGTTTAGTAGAGAATTTGAAGTGCCTTTCCTTGACAGGTTTAGAATTATTATAGAGGAGTTTTACTCCAAATGTGGATGGTCCAAGAAAGAAATAGAGTTATATGAGTTGTTTGATGAAATGCTTAAGAGAGACATGAGTAAGAGTAGAGAACCTTAATTATTGCTACATGGCATAATTGCATTTCATGAGTGCATTAATGAGCATGAGCCATCCATATGCATTAATTGTGCACTTGAGAAGTAGTTTGAGAAAGAGTAGAGAATTTTGAGTATAAGCTACATTAAGAGCAAAGAGAAAGAGAGAATAAGCACTAGAGAATAAAGAGAGAGTAGTGCTAAAGAAAAGAATAGAGTAGGTTGTGCGATGGGGAACCCGTGAGTGATGAGTAGAATGGTCACGAGAGTGGATGCTTTATGATCTCCAGCCGTGCCTCCGGTTAGATGAGGCCGTGACAATCACGAAGAGTGGAACATAAGGTTTTGACCATGCCTTCGGTTAGATGGGGCTATGATATTTAGAGAGAGAAAGAATACACTCACGTGGCCAAAGGTTTCGAATCCATGCATAACCGAGTCCAATCGACAAAGAATGAGTAGAAGTCACAAAGAGTGGGTTGGCGTTTTGTGAACTCCACCCAGTTGTGCCTTCGGTAAGATGAGGCCGTGACATTCAAGTGAGAAAGAATGATCAAACATGAGAAAGAATAAAGAGAGAATGAGTAGGGTCACGAAGAGTGAGATGAGTACCCAGCCATGCCTCTAGTAAGATGAGGCCGTGACCTACAACAGAAAGTTAATAGAAAAGAGTTATGAGAAACAGAAACAGAAAGAGAAAATAAATGACATGAGAAGAGTGTAGGGAAAGAATTAAAAGAAAGAGTTACGGGGACAGACGAGTAGAGGATTTACTTACTGAGCATTACTTTGTGCTCACCCCGTTGTTTTCTTTGTGGTTGCAAGATCTAGGTGAGAATGCGGTCAGATGGGCATCGGCAAGTGAGGAGCAATAGCTACACTGTCCACTGTTTTTGAGGACTTTTTGTAAATGATGCTCTATCTTGTATAAAGAATGTTTATATGTAATAAAAGAAAATTATTGGGCCCATCTACTTTTACTACAATATATGTATTTTATTATATGTATTTCTATGAGTATTCTAGTATAAAGGAGTTATTACAATGTCAACATGAATTTAGAAGTGATTGATGATGATGAACGGGGCTTCTCTTCGTTGAACTTGCAAAATTAGTATTCCATTTGGGCAGAACATTTCGGTTTCATGAGATGAGCAGGCAAATTTAATGGCAAGGATGTTGCAGCAGGCAACTGATGTTAATTTGCTTGATGTTTCATTCCAGGTCAGTCTTGCAGGTAGGCAGTTGCTTAATTTGTTGTTAAACAGAGATCCTACAGATCGTTTAGGATCAAATAGTGGTGCCAATGAAATTAAACAATGTCCTTTCTTCCGCAGAATCAATTGGCCTCTGATTCGCACCATGGTAAGAGAGGACTACTTGCATTTTACCATATTGAATTCTCAAACAGCAAATGATTTAATATCGAATGTTTCTCTATGCCTATGCAGAGCCCGTCTCCATTAGATGTACCTCCTGAGTTAATTGAAAAAGATCTGAAAGCCAAAGATGTCAAGTGGGAAGATGATGGAGTGCTTGTTAATCCTGTAGATTTGGACCTTTTCTAAAGGTTTGGATTAACAACCATTTCTAATGTTAAACATAGACTTCAGATTGACTCTGCTCTACACTCCCTTTATTGCTGATTCATGTTTTCTCTTATCATATGACCAGAAATGGGATACAGACAATAAAGGTGAGATGGAGGAGGTTCCGTCATCGTGTCATGTCATCTTAAACCTAAAGTAATTTTATTTGACTTCTTTGGAGAATTAAGACTTTGCCCTGTATTTAACCATGTAAAATATAACTCAACACTTCCCAACTCTCCCATTCTTTTTGAGACTCTACTATGGCGTAGTTGTAGATATCAAACCTCTGCCTAACCAATGAACAAAGTGTTATAAATAAAGCACAATTCGCTATTCTCTCTGTTAGCTCACAGATGCACAATCTAATCTTGAACCATGCATAACAGGTCAAGCATTTCAGTTCCCATAAAAACATAAATTTTCCATTCCTCAAATTGTGAGAATGTGATAACTTACAAATTCTCACCCTCTACATTGCCTTTTGCATTGCCATTAACTTACAACACCATTGCTGTCAAAATTTGCTCTTAATCAAAGTGGTATCTTTTGGTAATTTAAAGTATATAAGAGACAATCATTCAAAAAGAACATGTAATATATTTCCAGAATATAGCAAAATCAATGACTCACTAACAAAACATACTGTTGCTTTGCAAATTATAGCAAGAAATACAGGCAAATGTTGCAGTCGTATAGTGTCTTTACATAAAAAGGCTTGGATCAACTGTATAGACACATCAGCCAAATTTATCACATTGTTAATATGCAAATCTGATGAGCAACCAAGTATACAATTCTTGCGAGATTATTACCATGCAATTCAGCTCTTGACAAGGAAATTTGAGATGAAATTGAATACAGATAACACTTCAAAGTAGACCAAAACATGCACAACCACAATTATGTTACCCTACTTGGTGGCCTGTGCGATTATATTACTTATTGAACCGGCTTGTTCTTTTCCAGTCTCCACCAATGAGTCCTACAACATAAAAAAAAATAAAAAAATAAAAAAAAAATATGAAAAACTGACAACCAAAACCCACTGTGACCAAGAAAAAGAAATTATACCTAAGCAGCTATTAGACGTGTAACTGTTTTCTTGCTTGACTCTTGAAGTTCACCGGCAATCAATAGTTCATCCAAAATATAATAGGCCTATAAAATAAACGACTGTCAGCAATTAGCAAAGACACAGATTTTGGCATCCATGCAATATAAACTGATCTACGCTAGATAAGCAAGAGGGCATTAAATTAATAAGGTATTTTGGGTAGTCACTTATTGCATCAATCACCATTTATGATATAAAAAAACCCTTTCAGAAAGGAAAATCCCAATTGCAAAACAAGCCCATTGCAACATGCCTTGTGAAAGTTGAAGATCAAGTCTAGCTCACAGACCTGGAAGCAAAATTAGATTACCACAAACGTCAGTTTCTATACCAATCAAATGGAATTATACACTTTAATTCACTTAGTGATCTTATACAAAGTAAACTCAACTTCACTCACACTTCCAAAGTATCTGTCAAGAATCTCAACATAATGATGAATTATTTCAAGGACCTCTAAATCATTGTCATCCTGATCAATGCACATGCAGAAGTACAGACTAGCATATCTGCAAAACATATTCATTGGAACCAACTCAGTTGATCATCTCTATGATGGCGAAACATATTCATTGAGTCACAAATACTATCATATTTGCATATACCTTTTATAAACAACTTTGTATCCTCTCCATTCCACAAAATTACAGAGCTTGGGTCCTCGTGAAAGAAGGACTCCACTGAGCTCACGAATAACCTTCTCAGACAAAGCAACAGTTCAAACAAATCATCTATGTAACCACAACTGTTACAATAACTTGAGAAAATGATACCATAATGATCATTTATCCAACACAAGGCAGGTCCTTTGAAAATAAAATTAATAATTAAGATCTAAACAGAGAATATCTGAGCAACATGGATTTAAAACCATACCTTAGTTCGTTCCTTTTGTGAATAAGGAGAATACCATTTAGTCAACCAGACTTTTCCTTATCGGCTAATAAGAAGCACAAATTGAATCTGAAACATATTGAATATAAAAAATCATAGAACATCAGCAAAGTAAAACCATTAATCTTCATTTGGCATTGGCAACATAAAATGAACAAGATTTAATAAATCAGAGTTGTCGGACATAACACAACCTAAATGATTGTGGCATATCCAATCAATAACTTGTAAATGAATACATATCATTTCAATCATTATTTTGAAAGCTATTATTGGCAATGGTTCAGGCCCTCAACCAAGCTCAACAGCCTTAATCTCAACATCCAAGGTTGCTTTTCAACACATGTCAACTTTATGACACACTATCAAATTCTTAGCAATCAAAACATGTTCCTTCAATCCATGATTTATTTCCCTCAACATCCATTGCCATTTCCAGAAAATTTTGATAAGATTTTTGTTTGTAATAAACTTAAGCCAAGCTGTGAGAAAATGACATAAAACATGGGTCATTTTCCAAGATAAGCCGAATGCTTAGTATTGATAAGCTAGTTCGAGCTTAAATTTCACCATTCTTGCATACAAAGACTCCATGCTAACTAGTTTTCCATCAAATGCTTCCATATCCCTCTAATACAATTATTCAAAATTTCGTCTTCCTAACTTTCTGTTTAAAACCAAGGTAGTTCAAGAATGAATAACCCACATGGGCAGGTCTCAGAACTTCGCAATAAATTGTTAAACTAATATAACTTTGTTGGCTGAAGACCAATTGAAATTCATAAAACTATTATTCTATGCCATACGCTTCAATGATCTCTAATTCAAGATCTTAGCTAGGTTGATACATATATAAGTAATGTACTTGACAATAAATATCACTGAAATTAGCAAACTTGCATGTTCAGAGAGCAACGAATCCATCATAATCCCAAACAGTTACTCAAACATTCATCTAATAATGCGATTACGAAGTGAGATGTAACGGTGACAATATATCACCTAAATATAAAAATCAGTTCAAGAACAATGCATCAGCTGAACCAAAACCCCCAAATCTAATGTAATACTTCAATAAATGAAGAACTCCAAAGAAGTTATTTAATAAAAATGAATAAACGCGGTAGATCTAAAGAAACAGAATTCGATGGATCAATCCTCCATTAAGCTAATGAAATCAACAAACAATGACAGTACAAATTTCACATACCATGGTTTTCCGACTATATTGATGATAGAAATGAAATTGTCTTCGGTCACCAATAAATTATGTTTGTAATTTTGGTCTCCTCTCGTCTCTTATATTAATCCTCTCAATCTTCTCTTATTTTATTCTCAATGAGGACACCACCATGAAGATTCTAGAGCGGACTTGAAAGAAAAATGAAAAACAGAAAAACATTCGAGAGAGAAGTAATACTGAGCTAAAGAGTCGAAGAATAGAAAACTGTTATTAATTGACTAACTTTACAAACAGAAGAACGCTGCACTTATATAGGAGAAAATTTAGCTGAGCGGCCATCCCAAGTTTCCATTTAACAAAATGGCCTTGAAAATGTTTTTCATTTTTTTTTTTTTTTTTTTAGAGAAGCTGACATGGCATAGTTAAGAATCTTTAAACACGTAAAATGGGTTAAAATGAAAAGATTAAAACATATGTGGGCCGAATCATAAATAAAGAAAGTTTTTAAAATTTGAAATTTATCAAAACAAGCCCCACCTATTCAGCTTGCTTAATCGAAATTCATTAGGGCAAAAAGCGATTTCTTGAACCTGCGATTTTTTGATTGAACAAAAAATCGTTTGCACACCATATTCAATCTTAAAATCAATTTCTTGAACCCTAAATGGAATACAATCACAATTTCCGACAATCAATCGCGATTTTTGACAATCAGTCGCGATTTCCGATCAATTTTTTGAACCCCAAAACCATGGCTGACACTGACAATGAGGAAAACCCAACGCCACTTCGAATCCTAGATTCTGGTGGCGTAAGCAATTCAATGGCTACTCAAGTGGATCATCTGATCAGTGAAGGTGGTCCACAAGCAGAGGAGATGATGGCGGCACAACAACAAAGAGAAGAATCGCAAAACGGTTTTGAAGACGAGGAGTCAGGCGAGAAGGAGGAGTCCGGCCAGAATTCAGGCTAGCAGGAGTCTTTCGAGGATTCAAGCGATGAGGAAGAGGCCGACGAAAATGTAGGCGAAGAAAGGGTACGTATTCATTTTGGGAGTATTGCTCTGTACTATCGCTTAAGCTATCATTTGTATCGTTTAAGCAATTAACCTCTTTTACTCATGGTCAGTTAAGCGATACAAAGGCTTGCTTAAGCGATCCTTCATATCGCTTAAGCGATTGATTCAGTTTACTCTTGGTCGCTTAAGCGATTTCAGATCGCTTAAGCAATCTTTTCGAGGCAGAATCATAGATATAAGATTGCTTAAGTGATCTTTTGTATCGCTTAACAGATTCTTTCAGTTTACTCTTGGTCGCTTAAGCGATTTCAGATCGCTTAAGTGATCTTGCTCGAGGCAGAGTCAAGATCTTTTAAGCGATCCAAAATCGCTTAAGCAACCATAGTGGTAATTTTTTGTTGCTGATATTTTGTTTATTAGTTGTTTTGGTTTATTTTTGTTACTGACATTTTGTTTATATCGATTGTGCAGATTGTGCAGACCGTAAACTATAGAGACTATGAGTTGGACCTTGTAAGCGATAAGGTACCCTACTTTCCTGTAAGGGTGACGGTCAGGTCAAGTTGGGATGTTTTTGACCGAATAAAGGACATTTTAGGTGGAATGAGGCATGGTATAAGAGATTTCCGTCGCACTTGTTTCGGTCTGTTTTTAAGCATCGGAACAAATTGGAAAAAGGCATTTTGGGGGCAGGGAGTGCATTACATGTTACTGCACTCAGTAAAATGCAATAAAAAAAAAAAGAAATGTGATTCGTGGTAGGCGGAAAACCACTACGTTTTGGGATGTTTGAATATGCCTTGGTGATAGGCTTAAGATGTGAGGAAGTGCCGGATAAGCAGGTAGACGTAATAAGGAACAGTTCAAGAGCCATAGCGTTTTATGATAAGGTGTTGGCAAGGGCAAAGTCTATTATAGGATAGGTTTTAGAGGAGAGGCTACAAACAATTGAATTTACTGATACAGAAAAGATAAAAGTGTGCTTGGTTTTGTTTTTACATTCAATCTTATTGGCTGGTGACTCAACAAAAGCTGTTGAGAAAGATTGGTTGTTGTTTGCAAGCAACTTAAAGTTCTTTAATTCTTATTCGTGGGGATGGGTATCATTTGAGCGAACCATCATTAACCTAAAAAAACCAGACATGGCGTTAAAGCAGTCCCAATGGGTCAGGAAGGATAAACCAAGCACGTACAATTTGTTTGGCTTCCCATAGGCAATACAGCTAAATATTATAGCTTTTTGTAATATATATGTTTGAATTATGATATGGACTGTTTTTTTACAATGTAGGCTTGGATGTATGAGGCCATCCCTGTGTTCGCTAGTAAAACCATAATCGAAGATGTCTATAACGCCCACTTGAGGTACATAGCTAAGATTTGCTGTATTACTTAAATGTTTATTGATTTGCACTCAATTGAGTTTGTATATTGTTATTTTGGTTGGCTGGCCCTTGGTTGAATGTATGTGTTGGTTTGGTTAGTATTTGCCCTGAATTGGTTAAGACTTGGCAAATTTTGGAGTTACAGACTTCGCTGGGGTGAAGTAATCTTCACCGCGCGACGTAGGTTCTGTAACTGGCGTTGTAGGTTCTGTAATTTTTCGTCGGGGGAAGCAAGAGTCTTCGCCATGGCGACGAGCTGGCTGATGTGTAATGAAGTTTCTAGATATTTTTCCATAGGGTAAATTGACCATTCTACCCCTAATTGCAGGAAAAGTGAGGAGTGAATTGTAAGAAGTTTCATGGAGAATGTGTAGAGTTGGGGTGTGAGTGTAAGGAATTAAAGGATAAGGATGGAATTTTCAAGAAAGAGCAGGCAAAATGGAAATGCATGTGTAAAATATGAGCTAAAAAGGGATTAAGTTTAGTAAACCCTTCATTTTCTCTTCTCCACCGCCATTCCCATTCACCATTTTCTCCAACCTTCATTCCATCTTTCAAGGATTTTAAAGGGCTTTTTGAGTAAGTTGGGCTAGAAAGTTATCTAAGCATCCTAAGGAAGGATTCTTGCTTTAGATGTGAAGTTTTGCTTATATATGTATATTGAATCTTATGGTAGTATTGTTAAAGTTGTAGAGAAGAGACAAGCTGCCAAAGGAAAGGAAAGGGTTAGTAAAATCTCTCCTCACAAGGTAAGTAAATCAAACCCAAGTTAGATTTAAGCATCAAATGAATTGATACGTATATATACTTATAATTGTGAGATTGATTGCTGAGATTGTATTATTGATAGTTGATGGTTGATAAATGGTTCTTTGAGCCAAGAGAAGTAGAGTCAAGGTTGGGATGGCCAATTGAAGTTTGGCCGATTTGAGAAGAAGTTTAGTAGAAATTTGAAGTGCCTTTCCTTGACAGGTTTAGAATTATTATAGAGGAGTTTTACTCCAAATGTGGATGGTCCAGAAAGAAATA